TATATATATATATATATATATATATATATATATATATATATATAGGGTGCAATTTGTATAGAGACGAGAGCCCACCATCAAATATTATCGAGAAATATAGTTTCAATACTGGAAAGTTTTGTGATAGCCTTAAATTATATTTTTATATTTTATTATACAATTTAAAGCTTAAAAAATAGTTTAGAACGAGCAGTGTAGACACTCCCTAAAAATTCTGGCTAAGAGAACTCCTAACAACCTCGATTATGAGCTCAAAGGACTATATAAACCTTAGTAGACTATAGACAACCTAAACCCAATATAATTGTCTCAAAACTACCTAAAACATATCCCACGTCGATGTAGACCCCAAGAGCTTTCCAACGGTCCAAGAATCGCTTGAATGAGACCTATGGATAAAAAGAACCAGACAATAACAACTAGGTCCCTACCTAATTGGCCCAAGGTGACCTGCCAGACATGAGATGTGTCGGGTATGCCCCCAAAGCCTGTGATGGGCTCAGTTTGGCCCGGTGAAGCAGTAAAAACCATTTTCTTGATCATAAAGTCAAAAAATTCAAGATAAACTCGAAAAATTCCAAAAAAATCCAAACAAATCAGGAAAAATCATAAATAAGCCCTATAAATACCCCCCTCCCAAACCAAAAAGGGAGAAAAAATTCTCGAATTAGAAAAATAGCCCCAAAAATACCTGAAAATAGGAAAACACCTTAGAAAATTCCAAAACAAATAAAAAAATCCCAAAAATATGAAAACCCCTTCGAAAATTCCAAAAAAATAGAAACAATACGAGTAAATCCATAGGGAAAAACCCTCTTAAGCCCTAAAAAAATCTTAGGTAGACAATACAAAAAATTCCTGAGCTTTTCTCGGAACCTCAGGAACCTTATATCTACGTAAAAATACCTTAGAACTATTGATTCCAGCAAGCATATGTATCTAAAAGGAGGGTGGCGTAAATCAGAAGCACGGCCTGATCCAAGCCTGAAACTCCGGGTTCCGGGTGCCTAGATGTAAGTTCCCTTCCCTTTTTCAATTTTAGCTAATTTTCCCATTTAATTTGGTTTTATCTTCTACGTTTTTTGTTATTTCTTGGTTTATAAAGTTTTTAAAGAGTTTTTAATGTAAAATACACATATCTAG